AATAAAACAACCTAAAAAGAGAAACTAGACCTGGTCAACCAAGTAGCCACATAAAACATGCAAAAACTCCCCCACACTTAAAATCAGACAATGTCCCATTGTCGACTCTCGGCGAAGGGAAGTTGTACTACACAATCAACCGACTCAACAAATAAAAGAGAAGACGAAAAGACCAAATAAAAAAATAAAAATAGAAAAGAAAAGAAAAGTTGACCGACACAGTGACAAGTCACTGTGGTCCTGGACTAGGAGGAGGGGGAGGATAGGGCTGGCCGGCGGTTGGAGAGCGATTCGAGCGAGAGGCCGCGAGAGACTGTGCTATGTGTGGTTCGCGAGAGAGAAAGAAATAGAACCTGCGAAAGTAAAAAAAAACGTATAAATTTTTAATGGCAGCAGGTAAGTCGCGACACTAAGTCGCGAGTCGCGACTTCAGGTCGCGACTTAATTTTAATTTTTTTTTCTTTTGAAACAGGGAACTCGCGGAATAATGTCGCGAGTCGCGACACAATTTCGCGAGCTATCTCGCGAGTCGCGAGATATTCGCGACTCGCGAATCGAGCAGAGACCGATATCATTTTTTCGAGGGGAAACTCGCGAGTCGCGACATTTTACTCACAAGTCGCGAGTCCAACAGAGAGGTCGGCCCTATTTTCGATGGGAAGGTCGCGACTCGCGACATAATTTCGCGAGTCGTGATATTTTGATTTTTTTTTAAAGAGAAAGATAACTGGAATAAAAAGAAAAGCAAAACGAAAATACCTAATTACCTAAATAATTACCCCAAAGAAAAACAAAGAAATAGATCAAAATGCAAAAAGAAAAAGGGAAAGATACAGTCGTACAGAGCACAGTGACTAGACTAGTCACTGTGAGTTCGGTGGTGTACGCGGAGGGTCGAGATAGTCAGGCCCCGAACAGCAACGGGCGTCTGACACATCATATCTTTCGCCCAAGAGGGACCGGGTCAGCTCCATCGAACTAGGCTGAAAGGGGGCAATGTAGCGGTTAGGATGGAAATGCCCTGCAGTGGCCTCTGCGTGAATCCTCGCTTACACGCTTCCTCAGTAAGTCGGTCCATCTTTCGAAGAAGTGCACCCTCTTTCTCAATCGTCACCTGCGGTTCAGGCTGAGTCCCTCGGTCGGAAATGAAGATGGACTCCCCCAATACGGTCATGCTTGCGATCCCTTTCTTCACATCAATAACAGTGCAGGTGGTCGCCATAAAGGGTCGCCCGAGAAGGATGGTGTATTGCTTCCCGTCTTCTACCACATCCCTCATGTCTAGCACAACAAAGTCCATGGGGACTATCAGCTTCCCCACTCGAACCAACACATCTTCCACGATGCCCTCGGGTTGACGTATCGAGCGGTCGTCTAACTGTAGGCGCATTCGAGTAGGCTTCAAATCACCAAGCCCAAGTTGCCGATAGACTGCGAGCGACATGAGGTTGATTCCTGCTCAAAGATCGAGGATCCCCGAGGTCTCTTTCTCATTCCCGAAAGCTATATTGATCATGAAGCCCCCAGGATCTCTCTCTTTCCTTGGTAAGTCGCTATGTAAAATACTCGCCGTCTCGCATACCACCACCTCATCGGCACTCTCTAACCGCTTCTTATCCTTTGCCAATTCCTTGGAATGCCTCGCGTAAGCCGGTATCATCCTGCACACATCAGAAGGTGATAGATCGTCATTTACCTTTTTCAACATCATGTAGAAATCCCGTGTCAGCTGATTGTCCTTCTCTTCCGAGAGTCGGCATGGGTGAAGAAACCTTGGTCTGTATGGACTTGGGGACTTATGCAAATTTAGCATGGAAGGCGGTGCCGCTAGGGTTTTTTCTGTTTTCTCTAACTTCCTCGGATCTTCTTCTGCTTCTTGTTCCCCCTCGTCTACTATCTTCTCCTCCAAGTCGAGCATAATGACGGTCACTGAGTTCACATGCTCTGGTTGACTAGGCAACTTCCCCTTGTTCATTTCAGTTTCGAGGACTCCGACCCGTGTGGCCAGTTGGCCTAATTGCGTTTCAATATGGATGATGGAGGCCTCCTGATTGACACTCCGTTGCTCACTGCTGGCCATAAATTGAAGGATTTTGGCAATGTCTTCTTGGAGGTTCGAATTCGACCCCGCTTCCGGTCCCCTCTGCTGCTGCTGTGGCTGCTGTGGCTGGTAGTTCGGCCAGGGCACAAAGTTGGGTCGAGGTTGTTGCTGCATAAAGTTTGGACGAGGTGGCTGAAGGGTGTTCGAGTTGTTTGACCACGAGAAGTTGGGGTGGTTCCGCCATCCGGGATTGAACGTGTTCGAATATGGGTCATTGCCTGGCCGATTCTGGTATCCTTGTAAAGCACTGGCATCCGCATACTGCTCACTGGGGTCCTGCTCAAAAGATGAGGGGCATACTTCAGACCTATGCCCTAAGACTCCACACGCCCCACATGTATCAACAGCAAATGTATTAACCGGCTGAGACCCTCGTGCGGTAAGCAACCTCATCTGTTCAGTAAGCTCAGCTAGCTGTTGTGCCACCATATCATTGTTTGTACCGACCTCGCTGACTATTGCCCTCTTGCCTCGAGTGCTCTTTTGCGACGAGTTCGTACTCATCGTCTCAAAAATCTCAATCATCTCCTCGGCTGTCCTTGCTCCGATATCATCTCCTGCCGCGTTGTCGACCATATACTGCAAGTTCTGGTGGAGGGAATCATAGAAGCCGTTCATGAGTAGCCCCGGAGAGAGGTTGTAATGGGGGAACTGCCGTTGAAGATCCTTGAACCACTCCCAAGCCTCATGAAGAGACTCATTCGGTAATTGAGCAAATGAGACGATCTGTGACCGGAGCTCCTGAGTCTTCTGATGGGAGTAATACCTCCCAATGAACTTTGAGTACACCTCGGTCCATGTAGTGAGAGAGCCAGGTTCAAGTGTCATGAACCAGGCCTTGGCCCGGTCTTTCAGAGTCTCGGGAAAGCACCTCAGCTTCAACTGCTCGTCATTAAGGCCATTGAGAGGGAAAGTGTTGAGGACATTGTAAAATTCCTGGATGAAGTTGAGTGGGTCCTCGCTTGGAAGCCCGTGGAATGCCGGCAGCTGGTTGTAGTGAATCATTTTGAGCTCGTAGTTTCGTGCAGCGTCCGGCAAACGAATGCATGAAGTGACTGGCCCGATAACTGGCTGGGCCAAGGTTCGGAGGGTGTTACGGGGGGCTTGCAGTTGTCGTTCACCCATATCGAGGTTGCTGCCTTCGGATGATTTTGGAAAATGTTCGTCTTCCCCGTGCGATTCCAGAGTAAGTTCTTCCAGCAGTTCCCTCAGGCTCTCGTTGACAGATTTGTTGATCGGAGATAGCAATTTGCGTCCACTCCTGGTACGCATGCACAAAGACAAGAAACCGTCACGAGCACCAGATAAACAAAAGAAAATAAAATGAAGTCAAAAGAAAAAAAAGAACTAACACCTAACAAATAAAAAGAAAACAAGAGAAACACGAAAAATAAACGAATAGGCGCACAATTAAAGTCCTAAACCTTCCCCGGCAACGGCGCCAATTTTGTTGTAAGGATTTTTACTGGAGTAGAATCGAAAGATTCGTTTCCCGGGTCGTATCGCAAGGAAGGTTAGCCGGATTCAATTGTACGATTATTCGATCACGCGAAAGAAAAGAAAAATTCCTAAACACTCTATTCAAATGTTTTGATTTTAATTATAACTAGCGACTTGAAAATAAATGAAAAGCGATTTAAATAGCAAACGAGTTTACTCAAATGATTAAAGAGCTAGGGAATTGGGGATAATTGCTTTCGGTTCTAACATAACTACCGGCAATCAATTGCTCGGTTAAAGGACTTGAATCATTTCTCGTCCAGAAGCTCACTCTCAATAACTCTTCATAACAAGAGAGTGAACGTACACGATCAACTATCAATTTCAACAACCCATAGACAATTCCAAGAAGAAGAAGAAGAAGAAACATACTGAAGTAATGGAAGAGGGTTCTGAAGAGTTCAGAGATAATGGTGCTGCACGTGAGAAAAAAAGGAAAAATAAAAATGACCAAACCAGTGGAGAATGAGTCAAGCTATGCTACACCTAGGAAAAGTAAGAAAGATGTGAGGTTTTCTAATCACTTTGAGGTTTTACCCTCTCCAGTCAATTCAAATCCAGCGAAAGGGACTGTGGAGGGAAATAATCTAGTTAGAGGAAAGCGGTTCATGCTTGCAGAGGACGAGATCATCAAAGCTGCTGTTAACGACTATATACTGAGTCACGACTTAGGTGACGAAGGCCTGGACATGGTCCTCAACTGTAGAAAGCACCCCGAGGTGAGGGGCTGTTGGAAAGAGATCGAGTCTTCCATACCACACAGACCCACCTTTTCCGTCTACAGGCGTACGCAGATTCTATTCCGCAGGTCTCCTAATAGGAAATGGACTGAGGAAGAGTATGAGGAGGTCCTTAAGTTCTATGAGGAGCACGACAGGTAATGGAAGAAGTTGGCGTACAAGCTCGACAAGTGCAATATCCATGTGAGTAACGCCTGGCGGAGGATAAAATTAGTCAACCGCAAGAAAGGGCACTGGTCTCAGGACGAGTACCAGAAACTGTTTGACCTCGTGAACATTGACCTGCAGGCGAAGCTTGGGGAAGAGAAGAAGTCCCAGTACGGGATGCTGCGTGGCAATATCTTCTGGACATCAATTAGTGATAAGCTGTCAACCCGTACTTGGGAATTTTGCTGTAAGAAGTGGTACAAGAAGCTGACCTCGTCCATGGTGGCCCAGGGCGTGGGGGCCAACTCAGACGACTACCGCCTAATTAGTGGGCTTTATAGCCTAGACGCGACATGCGTGGAAGATGTGGACTGGGATGGTGTTGTTGAGGGCAGGGATGGGAAAGTGTTCCGAAAGCGTTGGAATCGGATGGCTTTACATTTGGGGCGGAATGGGCATAAGCCGTTTGCCAAGCAGGTGGAAATCTCGACGCGGAGATACTGCCCTCATCTTCTGGAGGCGAGAGAGGCTTGGGACAGTAAACCAAGAGTTCCATGACATGTGGCAGTGGCACGTCGTGACTTGTGGCGGGCTTCTGATGAAAGGTTATGTGTCTTTATAACTTTGGGATGTGTTGCGAATGTGTTCAGTTTTTGTTGTTATTGAGGCCCCACCTGAAAAATGTGCTTTTTGGGCATGAATCATTTTAATTTGGTTGGTGTTTGTCTTTGTTTTCTAGCGGTGTATTGGAATTTAAGGTACTGTAAACTTCTCATTCGAAATCTTTGAAGATATTACCAAGGTGTGATGAAATAGTGACAACATTTATTTTTACGATGCATAGGAGTTAACCTATTAAAAGACAACTGTTGTAAGTATTTTTACCAGAGTAGAATCGAAAGATTTATTCCCCGGGTCGTATCGCAAGGAAGGTTAGCCGGATTCAATTGTACGATTATTCGATCACGCGAAAGAAAAGAAAAATTCCTAAACACTCTATTCAAATGTTTTGATTTTAATTATAGCTAGCGACTTGAAAATAAATGAAAAGCGATTTAAATAGCAAACGAGTTTACCTAAATGATTAAAGAGCTAGGGAATCGGGGATAATTGCTTTCGATTCTAACACAACTACCGGCAATCAATTGCTCGGTTAAAGGACTTGAATCGTTTCTCGTCCAGAGGCTCACTCTCAATAACTCTTCGTAACAAGAGAGTGAACGTACACGATCAACTATCAATTCCAACAACCCATAGACAATACTATTACGAACAAGTCTACTCTAAACAAGCCTATATCGACCAACGTCTCCCCTCTCGGTTCTACACGTTGATTAATTAGGTTAGAAAGGTGATCAATCTACTAACCCTAGAATAAGAACAACTTGAATAGATATGAACAATTAAGAACAAGCAATTATAATCGAACCTAATCTATCATCCCCTATCCCTAGCGTATGGGTTTAGCTACTCATATGGAATTCAACATCAAAATTCATACAAACCCAAGCCATCATCATCAATCTCACAATTGAGAAAAGAAAACTTACGATTAATAATGATAGTTCAATGTTGAATCCAAAAACATCCAATCCAAAGCAAGGAAAATAGAGTTTTGATCTCCAAAATCCAATCAAAAGAGTAAAAACATCAAAAGGAATGAGTTTCTCCAGAGAAAAAGTGTAAAAACGAAGTCTGGAATGTGTATAATGAGGTCTAGGTCAAAATTCGGATGTTAAAAACCCGACCTTGAAAATCGTGCCGATCAAGTCGCGAGTCGCGACTTAAGTCGCGAGTCGCGACATTCACTTTTGTCGAGTCGCGAGTCGCGACATCTCGCGAGTCGCACGTCTTCGATAATACATAAAATCTGGGGAAACTCGCGACCTGACTCGCAAGTCGCGACTTGTCTCGCGAGTCGAGACATGGACTCGCGAGTCACGACTCGTCTCGCAGAACTCGTCTTTTCGGCTCTGTTGGACTCGCGAGTCGTGACCTTCTCGCGAGTCGCGACCATCTCGCGAGTCGCGATACTGACTCGCGAGTCGCGAGAAGTTCTGGGCATCTTTTCGGTCCGTTTTTTCGGTCCTTCCTTCAGTATTCTGAGCACGTTAATGGGTCTTCTTGATATCCCGGTCTCAGCTCAAGTAGTCCCGTCCTCGGTCAACACAACCTACCTCCTGAAAACATAAACACGAATAAAACACGAAGCAAAACACCGCAAAAGACGCACCAAACGAACTAAGGAGAAGAAATGGAAAAATCACAGAATTGGACCAAATAAACTACGAAAATCCTATACGTGGGAAAAATAAAGAGAAAATAGACTCAAAATAAAGACACAAAAATGGGACAAACAACAACGGGGTATGGAATGGAGTCGTTTGCTTTGATTGAACTTAACTACTTTATTCTCAGTTGTCTATATAAATACCTATCAAAGTTATGTACTTCTCACCTCAAAAAGAAAGTATATATGGTCCTCCGAGGTTCTGAGGTATCATTACATTTTTTAGGATCTAGTTAGTTATATTACGAGCAAGGATACAGAACTTCTTCACTTCTTCTCCAGATTATGGCTTAGTTTCAGCAAGGATACAAATGTGAACCTCTCAGATTGAAGAAACAAAGAATAAAGATTAAGCCATCAACTACAACCTTTCAAAACTTTCTTACTAAGTCGGAATAACTAAAGGTATATCCTTTCCGCAAAGTGTCTGAGAATTAAGACCGAAGCAACCAGGTTCACACAATAGCAGGAAGAACCTGAAAGGACGGTGATCTTGGCCAAGGTCGACAAATTCTCCCAATATTGATTGCGCAAGGTTGTGGGCTTCAGTTAATGCACATATAAGAATCGATTTCATAAATCGGCCGGAAGTTTCCTCAAGAGAACAAACTATAGATATAAGAATAGAATAGATATAGATTTTTTATTCTCTCATTGACATGATAAAGAAATTAATTACCACGTGCATCTCATGTGCACTTTACTAATCAATATAAAGCGTTATATTTTTCTTTTCTATTTATTGTAGAGGCTGGCAACGGTTTGGTTGGTACCCTGATACGGGAGATTTGTATTATTCCCCATGGCCAAGCTGGTGGGCTCACTTTCTTTGCTCCTAGTGAAGAGGGACTCGAGTCGGGCCTGTACGGTTGAAGCTATTTGAGAAACCAGATGGTAGTCCCTTTGATGATTCGGTCAGTATCCCTCACAGAACCATTTCGTGATGGGACTGTAGTCTTTTCCTTTATTTAGTTTGAGTTGTTCATTCTATTTTGGGTCTAGTTACATATACACGAATTTATCGAAGGCCCTTTGAGTTTAGGCCCTTCAGTTAGTTAATTAATACAAAAAGTACGAATGGATAAGAAGAAAATTACAGGGTAATTAGCATCAAGAATGTTTATTTACCCTTAATTTTTTACGTGATATATGCAAAAGGGTCAAAAAGTTAAAGACTAATTTGGATTCTGAAGATCATTTGCTTTTTCATTCGGTCCCATTAACCACAAACACAATCAGTGAAAATATACAGCAGAATGTCAATATATGTTCTGTTTCTGTTCCCCACCAAACAAAAAAATTGCAGACACTGATTAATTGTGGTAAGATTTGTGGATAATTGCAAACAGGAAACACAGGTTCAGTGTAGGAAACAATTCAATTTACAGAAAAATGTTACGGACCCGTTACGGAATCGTTTCGTTGGGGTTTGTAACCGTTAGATCAACTATTTGTCGACGGTTACATGATGATCTAACGGTTACAAACTCTGACGGAATGGTTCCGTAACGGGACTGTAGCATCTCTCTTAATTTACAAATACCCTTATTTTGATATTTGTAGTATTTTCTTTGTTTAAAGAGAAAAAAAAATAACATTTGATGGTACAACTTGTGAAGCATAGTCAGATAAATTGCAGAAAAAGCTAGTTAAGATCAAACATAGGGAGGTTTTATTTTGGTACTTTCTTAAACCTCTCAAGATTATTCATTACATCCCTCAACCTAAGTGGTTTCTTGCAATACTTCATGAATGATAATTATTTTTATTATATTGAAACCGAAAAATACAAGATCGTCTATTTTCGAATATTAACCCCATGAAACAAACATTAATGTTCATTTCATTTCAAAACAAGAACATGGACAGAGGGAGGTGAAGACAAAGTCCCTTGATAGGAACATTAACACTACAAGACTGAAAACATTATTATACATTAATTATTTCAAGCACACATACTTATACACAAACATATGGCTAGAAATTGAACCGAATGTCGCTGATCTTGGTCTTGATCCACTTGAAACTCCCCCTCACAGATGCTTTCACTTTACCTTCGTTGAAACTGTTGTACGAGGCAATCCGTTTCTTCCTCTTCAGTTCCGGGTCATCCAGTGATTTCGAGTTTGGCCCGTTGAATGCATACGGGTCGGGCTCATCTTTGAAATCGAACCGTGATGAGTAGTGGGAAAATGACCTGCACTTCTCCATTTGCATTGTTTTCTCCACTTAGAAGATCTTGGTTAAGTTGGAAGTGAATATATCATATGATGATATGAATGAATAGAGTTGAGTTGATTGCTTTTTATGGACATCATTTATATGCTTGATAAAGGGCGCGGGAAAAGCCTAATTTTGCGTTGCATGCTCATGAAAAAAAAAAAAAAAAAAA